AGTCCATGTAGCAATACCACATTAGCACACAGACGCAACCGTCACTTAAAATCCAATAGTAGTAGAGGTAGTAGAAGCATTAGCAAAAGTCGGAGAGATTAGGGTTCGAAGATATTATTCAAGAAGTAGAATCTAGTGAAATAAACTTAAAAGAAAAAGATGATGAGGAATTCAGGTTAGGAGGATTTAAGAGAACACAAAGAATAAATGAACCTGCACCATTGCAAACGGTTTTGCGCCATTTATTGAGAGTCTCTAACCATCATTCCCTATCACTCGTTCAGGTACCGATACAAGCCAATCCAACTCTGCATGTAGACCCTTCGGTGCTATTACTGCCAGTCCAAACCACATAAACTCTGCCCTGAAAGTAAGGTCTCCATTTAGAAGAGTTATGACGACGTCTCGTGATGAGAGTCGAGTTCCTTCGGAAGCTATGAGGCCGATGCCCCTTGTGAAAACCAGAACCTTTCCACATTGTGAGCAGCCGTGAACCAAACCAAATTAGTGACAATCCAATCCTTTTTACACCTCCTAATGACACTCTTATCTCCTTGACCAACTCTTCAGCATCTTCACCAAGTAGGACAATGTCATCGGCATATTCTAAGTCAATAAGCGAGCCACCTGGTAGAAGGTTTATTCCTGAAAATTCAGATGAGGATAAGGTTATTTCTAGGAGCATGTCTATAATAAAATTAAACAAGAATGGAAAGAGTGGACATCCCTGACGAACACCACTTGAAGTAAAGAATTCCGGTGACAGTTCGCCATAAGCTCTTACTCGACCAGTGGTGTTCGAGTAGAGAGCTCGTATGAGGTTAATGCACTTCTTTGGTACACCTTTCAATGACAAACACTGCCAGAGAACCTCACGATCCACTGAGTCAAATGCCGCCTTAAGGTCCAGGAAAACAACTATCGTAGGACGCCTAAATGTGTGTCTGTGTTCCAAAACCACGTCCAGGTCGAAAACCAGACTGGTTTTCTCGAGTTTGCTCTTCACGAGCTTTTGTTAAGCGTCGAAGTATTACTGAGGCCAATATTTTAGATACTATGTTAGTTAGACTGATTCCCCTGTGATTGTCACAAGAAGACTTATAGATTGTGACAATCAGTGATTGAGACCACTCGGATGATATTCGTCTAGTTCCTAGATTCTACATAAGATCTCAGTCAACCTAGCTGCTAAAACTGGACCACCATCCTTAAATATCTGAGGGGTCAGTCTATCAGGACCTGCAGCTCGCCCTCGCTTCAGATTTTCTATCGCTTTCTCAACTTCATAAAAAGTGTGGGAGCTTACGTCGTTTGCCATTTAGGATGACTGGGGATCGTGGGTAACCGGAGAGTGGCTCGAGGCCAGTTGAACTGATCCCTAAAGTGTTCTGCTCATCGGTCCAGTCTCCTGGATTGAGAATGGACAATAAGACCATCCTTTTCCGAAATAGCCTCACAGTAGGCTTCTGAATACCAGTTTCCTTGATAAGCCGGTACAACTGTCTGTTGTTGCCCATCGTCGCCCCCTTTTCCATTGCTTTTGCCTTCACCACCCACCACTGTTCACGGTCGTTACGTAGGCTTTTTATCAGCCTGCGCCTAAGCTGACTTCGTTCTTCATCATGTTCAGAGCCAGGTGGGATGAGTTTTCGGGCATCCATCAGATCGGTGGATGCTACTGAGATCCACTGCTTCATTCTAGCCTTATGGTCAACCTTACTAACAGATATCACTGCTGTTTCCACAGCCTTCTTGATATCATTCCAACCTGCCTCCGGATGGGAATCGCGTAAATGGTCGCCTAACTGTTTGACTAGTTGTTCCTGGAATATATTCTTAGCCTCATTATCATTAAGTAGAACCCTAAGAAGTTTTTCCTTGCGGTGTCTTTCCTACGCCCAGTAAGCCTCAAACAAATACGAGCTCGCACTAGGGCACGATCTAGATCTAAACATGTGCCCCAGAACGACCGACAGTCCTCTATCGAACCTCACCATCGGTGGCTGATGGCGATATGATCTAGATGGGTCGACTAGGCGGGTCGCCAATTCAACAGATGTTTTTCCTTATGTCTAAAGTTAGTGTTTGCTAGAAATAGGCGGTTATCTGAGCATACTTGCAACAGACAGTCACCATTGTCTGTTCTCTGAGCCGCGACACCATAACATCCACCAAGGTGCCTTTCCTGCTCACCTAGTCTACCTACCTGAGCATTGAAGTCACCAGCCATTATTACTGCATCGGAGCGCCTAGCTTTTTGGAGGAGGTCCGATAGCTTCCTGTAAAACTTATTTTTAACTTCATCTGAACTGCAGTCAGTGGGGGCATAGGCAGATACGATGAAGAGGCAATGGCGAGTGTCCCTACCCTTTCGAATCCTTACTGTCCCCTTTAGTCGGACGGCGCACAAACGACTATCTACAGGGATTCATTCAAGGAGAGATTGTTCTGCCCTACGACTCAATACTATACCTACACCAGCGAGACCCCGGGAAGCAGCATCAAGGCTACCGGATACATGAAGAGTAAATCGGGATGCTTCTTTATTTTGATAAGGTGAAATCAGATTAATGATTTTACTAGAATCCTGTATGCGCATTTCCGAGACGCAGCACACATAGATTGAGCGAGATTCTAAAGTCCTAGCTAATGATGCCTGTTGCACCATTTGACACAATGTCCGTACATTAAATGCTCCAACATGTAGTTTAGAACGGGGTTTAAGGAAACCAGGAACGACGTTTCGTGAACTCGCATCATTTGCATTAGCGGTGCAGTGAGCTGAAGGTATACGACTAGAGTTAGTCGTAGAGATAAGGGAGATATTACGGGGTGTAAGAAGGATTTGATTTTGACCAATTTGGTCTCGCGTGGTTACGGGTATGAGAGCGGTTGCCACTTCTCGGCTGCCCATACCGTGGAAGGTTGTTTCTTGAGGGACCTGAAAAGGAAGGTAGATTAGTGTTGATCTTAGAGACCTGGGTGCGTGACCGCAGAGCCCAGGGGACAACTGCTTGAGGCTGGTCACTCACGGCCTTTTTATGAAAGGTTTCTTGAGTATTAGCTCCGCTCTTAAAGGTCCTAAGTGGGCACCCTTACCGATGGAGATGGAAATCCGTGAGGTAGGGTGAGGTGTGCGAGCGCGTATTTGTTTGGGTCTCACTGAACGTTCAAAATATCGCAAGGAAACATCTTAGGGCTCTACTTAATGAAAATAAAGCTAAGAATACATATTAGGAACAACTAGAAAAACATTCAGGCGTAGGCGAGATATCTACTTGCTAATCAAAGGACGAGTGTACTGCGCAGAACTTTGCTCGGCCCCACTTTATGGCTGTGAAACATGGCTAGTCAGAATAGATATTGGTAGGCTTCTTGTTTTCGATCGTAGGTGTCTCCGAAGCATTGCTCGTATATCCTGGGACAACCGAGTAAGCAATGCTGTTATTAGGAAACGGGTGCTAGTTAAGGATGGCAAGTCAACAGATGAATTATTGAAACTTCATCAGTTGGGGTGGTTGAGACATGTGTTGCGTATGCCTAACCATCGATTGCCGCGACGAGCTCTGTTTTGTGGTGTAGGAGTAGGTTAGAAGAATGTTATGGGGGCCAGACCAAAACATGGCAGAAGTCCATGAAGTCACTGACAAGAGGATTGAGTCATGTTGGTAGATGTAGGCTACCTGGTTGGGATCCGAGAGACGAAGTCACCGATGGTTAGAGACCTTGAACGACATGGCTCAAAATCGTTTGCAATGGCGCAGATGCATCCACTCTTTGTGTTCTCACAAATCCTAACCTTCTGAATTCCTCATCATCTCTACCCTTCTCTTTCTAAAGTTATCTCACTGAATTATACTTCTCGAATTATATCTTTGCTCCCTAATATTCTCCATTACTGCTAAAATTTGAATTGACAATTACATCTCTGTGCTAATGTGGTATGGCAACTTGAACCGATGTACGTACGTATGTACGAAGTTGTACGTTGCTCTTTAATGATTGGTTGACAAGCCAATCCTGAAGTAAGATTTTGCATTTTGAGGGGAAAGCCACATCCCAAACATGTTTGCATTTGCTCAGGGTAGTCAGAAGACTGCATTTTGGCAGCGTCTTCACCAAATAGAACTATATCATCGGCCTATATTTCTGTTTGTGTTCGAGGGCCTGTCGTAGTGTAAAAATGTGGTCTATATATACACATCAAGGTATGAAGCCAACCTGGTAAGATTTCTAGACTATATATATAAGGTTGATCAAAACCACTATAATTGTTTCAATTGGTTCAGTAAGTTGATCTATCGCTAAGTCGATTGCGCTGAAAACATTTAATGATAAGTATGTGCATTTTAAAGGCTTGCTATTGAGAAATTACCTAATTATGATATTAGAAAGACGAGTTACATGCATTTTTTGCATAGAAAACTAGTTTACAAATAGATGATGAAAAATACCAAGAAAATAAAAACTTCATATGCCGTTCTGGAAAACCATTAACTAAGTTCCAAAAAGTTTGATGTTTTCTGAACACGTGAAAGTGGTAGCAACGACTATTACAATTACAATCTTAAAAGATCTAGTGAACAGCAGAACAAAATTCTCAATTGTAGATAGGTTTAGACGCGAACTGGGTTTAACCACTGATAATCAGCAAGCAACGTGCAGCTGCTTCAGTTTTGTTTATGATTCATAAGTATGTTCGTGATTTCGTAGGACAAAATCGGTAAGTTATCGATTAAAATACTGTTAGAACAACATCGATTCCTCGTAAATCACTGAACTGGGTACTAATCTACTGAAAATTAGTGACATAATTCACAATAAATATATTAAAAATCTAGGTGAATAACCTGAATTTTAGGGTCATTGGGGTGAGAAGCGTAAACAGATATCTAAAGAAAAGAATGAGTAATGTTTACGTCATGTATATGATAGCTAAACAGTATTCATACCATACTAAGATAAGTGCATACTTATATGTGGAAATTTTTTTAACTTACTTCACCTGCTGTCAGTTTTCTTTTAACCATATTTTCGCTTTCCTGAAGAAGTGAACTTGAATTATTTGTGAGCTGGATACCGGAATGAGTAAGAGTATTCATCACATTGGTCAATAGGCCACCCTCATTTGTGTGTTTGTCAACTTGGGATGAACTAGATTCCGAATTTGAAAAAGGAGCTGTTTCAGTCTTGGTTTGGGCTTGGGAGATTTGGTTTGAATTGGCCCTTTTAGATTCAGCACGCGGCAAACGAAGGCCACAACTAGAAAGAATTTCCCTAGCTTTTTCTGCACCACAGTGTATGTCACACGATCCGTTTTCACAAACCCGATTGGCCAAACCTTCAAGATCATTTACTGTTATATACAATAAGTCACTAGCAGATGGTTCTCTGAATACCAAAATTAGCCACTTCACGCTTGCTTTAAATAAACAAATAGTAAAAGTTTGGGAAACCATGTGAGTAAATAATCAACGAAATTATCTCCCTAGAGAAAAATGGCTAAGAAATTTAAGTTAATTTAGTGTGGGCAACATATAATGAGTAGAAACTAATTAGATAAGAAATAAAAGTCTTCCTTATAGTTGCCAAAGGACGGTTTTTAGCTGAATGTTTTTCGGTCTTGTTAACAAGGACTTTAAACCATAGTACGGTATGAAAAACTTTGATGAACTAACCAAGAAGCGAGGACCTTGTTTGTTGGTTAAGAAGTTGGATTTTCAGACTTTTCAACAGTATTGAATATTAACGGGTATCGAGCATATAATTTGGTTGTGCTACTTTCGAATTTTTGAATGTTCTTAAAACCGTTATTAACATAACGAATGGATGTTCCAAGGGCGAATTTACTGAGAAACTCATTTTCCTTCACTATAGAAAATGCATTTTCCGCAGTTTTGTCTGAGTTATTAGTTTTCGCACTTCGGAAATATCTCCAGGTCAACTATGTTGGTACATCTTGACATCAACACATCCATTAGTATCTGAACAACCGAAGGAGTCATACTACAATCGATAAGCAATACGCGGCTACCTTGAACATTCTTCTCGAAACGGTTGCAGGACACTGATTCGGGATAAACTTATGGCTTTTCTTCAGAACACTGGCAAACAGTTATGAACAGTGCTTGAGACAAAATGCAAAGGCGAGTCCGGAATAGTTTGTTGGGGGTTGCTGGTCGCGTCCTGTGCTCCACGGAGGTAACAGGCGTAAGTAATTCGCCACAAGGCAAACAGTAATGAGGTTCGGTTTATCCGAATATTTTCTTCAAGATTTAAACTATTTTAATTGCGAATGTCTTGGGCGGCTTGATCCCACTTTGTGCATATCACTCAGCTGATTCTTACAGCGTCAAAGCTGATATTTAGTAGAAGAATGTTTTTCATTTATCATTGGACGAAGGACGTTTGGTTTATCACAGTATACCGAACGAAACCCTATTGATATTACAACTAGATGACTATTATCTGTTAGGCTACTCATGCTTTTGACGTATTGTTGAACATTTTGCGAATTATTATCTTATGCAACTTATCCATGATAAGAGATTTATGGTCAGGCAATAAATTACGATGAAATGTAATAAAAAGCTGCACTCTTCCAAATAAGTTACATTTAAACTGAATATATACTCACGCAGAACAAACTCCTTGATTTTAAGCAATTCGGAAAGTTTCGACTTGAAAGAAACAGATGGTTTCACGAAAATCACCTGAAGGGTTTCGCAGAAAACGAGCATTTCCATGTTATTGGATTGGATGGTGACACTGGTCCACACGCCTTTGGAGTAGCATAAACAAAAAAGAGCTTACCTTCTACTTTAACTTTGCATGAAATAGAAGATGAACTAATACAACAATCTTCTGCACGACCATCGAAAATCCCTGATCTTCCGATACTAAATATGGTAAGTGGAACAAGGTGGGAGTTGTTGACAGTCCTTGTTCTTTTCACAGGTGGTGTACCATTAGGCGATGATATAACGCATTCCGTTTTAGCAGAAGACTTCAATGAGGTGTCGGAAAAATCAATAACTTTGCTGCACATGGTACATCTGAAGTCAGAAGGACAAGCAAAGCCGTGACAATTCGGTTGAGGGCACTTCCAAAATCTTTTGTTTTTTTCTTCAGGCAAAGTCCTAACAAATTAAACCCTTATAAACATAAAAACGTACGGTGATTTCCTGCTAAGAGCATCTTGTACCTCTCGCAACATCATGATCTCAAGGTCGACAAAACGCGCCCCCTAGGTCAAATTCAAACGTTGGACGGACAATATACAATGCCAGGTCGACAAAATAACTTGCATTGATTTTCCATTTAAGCTAGTTTTTCAAGTTTAAGAATATTTCAAAAGTTTCTCTAAAAGTTTTTTATCATGCATCCTAGTCATACAAAGGTTATATGAAGTAAAGTAATTGTTAGAATTATTGATGTCAGCATTCCACAATACTACTGTAGTGGAACGCTTCTACGAAGACCATACGATTTGAGAAAAATAAACACAATTGTACATCTTTTGTTTAACTGTACCGAAAACACTTCTGCGACTTTTGCGCGCAACGTTCTATTCGCGTTGCTGCCATTTTTCTCTATTTGCTGCTCCCCATGTATGGCCAACGTTCTCCTTCAATAAAACATTGGAACATGGATTTATTTTGTTTTGCTATGAATAACGGATATTATAGAACATTTAGTGGTGAACAAAGTCGATCTGGTATCTGGATTCGCACACAACACTACTTCTATCAATTTTTTATTAAGTGGAATAAAGAATGCGATGATTTGATCATTCTTTCTGAAGAAAATACTGAAGAATGGATTCAAACTTTTAATTTGGTCTAATCGGTCAACTCTTGACGATTAAAGTTTTATTACTCTTGTTTCAGAAAAATTAGCTGACAGTTTGTATAACCAGGACTATGTGAACCGTGAGGAAGTTAGTATTTCTATGGAAATAAGCTAACTTTAGAAAAATGGGTAAAGCTGACATAAACAATGTAGAACATTAATGCTGTCATGTAAACTCTTAATTTGATACACTAAACAAATAACATATAGAGTAGAAATTTACT